GAGAATATGGCTCCAACAGCAAGCCCAGGCTGTTGTTTTTCATTATTTTAAAGTGTGGATGAGTATCCTAGTTACCATGCAGTTGCATTCACCCAGCTTAGACCAACCCTTACTCTCTATTTGCTTTATCCTCATTTGTTGTGGCACATCCTTAATCAAGATTAAATGGTGGTGAAATCAGGGCAATGTAATAAAGAATCTACCAGAGATTCATGTGAAGCATAAATAGCAGTTTAGTATGCTACTGATTACACTGTTCCACTAGAGGTGCCAATACCTACCCGACAACAAATGCCAAGAGCTTTCTGGAAATTAAGGTAGACCAAAATACAGTATGACCCTTGGTAAAAAATGACTACAGGCTAGCCATACACTTAATGTAGCACAAGTACTACAGACAAGCAAAAGCGAGTGCACTTACAAAGTTCCTCAAACTTGTTCTTATGACTTGAATGACCTTGGGTTCTTCTGAAAACATCCAGCACGATGTCATGCAAACCACGTAAACACCACCAGACCCAGTTCTGCACTCCTGGGATTTTGCCAGCACTCACAAATTGGCACAGAAATAACGTGTGGCAAGAGGGAGGCATCCCCATCTAATACAAAGGACGGTAGTTCCATTTCTGAACTTGAATCAAGAGTAACAATTCCATTTGGGTCTTCTGGTGGGGATCAGTCTCTTCTCCCAAGTAAAAAGCAATAGGATGAGGGGAAATGGCCTCAAGTTGCACCAAGGGAGGTTTAGATTGGATATTAGGAAAAATTTCTTCACCAAAAGGGTTGTCAAGCATTGGAACAGGCTGCCCAGGGAAGTAGTCAAGTCACCATCCCTAGAGATATTTAAGACAGGTAGACGAGGTGCTTAGGGACAGGGTTTAGTAGTTGACAGGTACAGTTGGACTCGATCTTAAAGGTTTTTTCCAACCAAGTGATTCTGTGATTCTCTGACGGCAGACTGTGGAAGACGCTAATTTGACAGTCTTAAAAAGTGTATCCTTACTTTAAGGCTAGTTTTAGCCTTTCCTCATACAGACAAGGAAAGTCAAGACATTTAGTGAGTTTTATTTCAGCAAGTTTTATTCAGCGAGTTTATTACTTGCAGGAAATCTTTGTACAAGGTGGGGAAAGGAGCCAGGTCTCCCACCTCCTAGCTTCCAACTCTGATCATAAGGTCAGTCTCAATGTTAAATGTTATTAATTTCCAAGTATTATGACAAAGCACGTATTTTATTTAAACCTTTCTGAAAATTAAATGAATGGGTGTTTTTTACACTTCCTTGTTTTAAGCAAGCCACTGTAAACAGTACAATCCACAAAAAGAAAGCAGCAGCCAACCCCAAATTTAATCAGTGCCACTGGCTATCATCAGCCTCCTGGATTTACTGTATTAATACAATTATACATTAACTCCCACTAAAATATTCTAATCCAGCAGTTAATTTCTCTTCTGTGAATAGCTCTTGAGGGCACAGCAGTCTATAGTCAAGAGCCTAGACTCTGACCCAGAACTGCGTACCTGAAAGAAAAGACCTTTCGACCTCGTTCAACAATACTTTAAATAGAATGTGCAGGGGAAGCAAGAAAAGTATTTGTTTAAGCAGCACAGCACCTTTCAAGCCCCTACTCTTTTTGACTACGGGGGTCCATTTGTTCCAAGGCGAGCAAGCGCGAAAAGCAACCTGCTCCCTCAGCAGTATGTATCGAAGGCGTCCTCTCCGTCCTTTCTCCTTCAAAGCTTTTGTGCACAGGGAGTTCTTGGAATTTCTTCGGAGATTGCTGGGTTAAATGGCAGATTTTTAAAGCTGCCTAAAGAAGCTTTCGCCCCGGTGAAACCCTTTCCGTGCAGCACGGCCTCAGGCGGGGTTTGGCCCCGCAGGCCCGGGGATCTCCTCGCACCCAAGGGTACCCTCAGCTGCAGGGTCTCTTCACACAGAGCATCAAGCACCCCAGACACTGTCGTGTCTTCACACGCGCTTCCCTAAATCCTACGCGTCCCGAAGCCGGACACTGCCCAGCAGGTTTCTCAAAAATTCCTTCGGAGCCGCCATCGCCCCCCTCTCCCCCAGCATCCCCCCAGGCTCGTTCATTCCTGCATCAGCCCAACCACACGGACCTGCACCAGCCGCACGGAATCCACCTCCTCCCAGCCGACCCCCTCGCCAAGCGGAGTTATTTCCTCCCGCACAAAAATCAAAAGCACATAATAAATACTGTTTTTATTTTTTTTTTTTTAAAAAAAATTGCTAGTTTATGACTTCAGTTACCTAACTGCAACCCCACAAATACCACACAGAGTTATACAGATGAAACTGGGGCCGGCGGGGGGGCATTCAGCTTACGG